TGCCTGCACCCCCTAAACTACCTGCATCCCCCCCCCCCCAAACCGCCCGTATCCCCCCAAAACTGCCTATCCCCCCCCCCCCACACCGCACCCCCAACCCCAAGCAGCCCTGAGGACACAGAGCTGCCCGGCCCCGTGCCCGCTCACACCAGCAGCGCAGCTGGGCGCTAGCCGGGCACCTGCGAGCATCCCCACACTTGGGGTGATGCCAAGGGCACACGTGCGTGCATGCAGCAGGCACGTTTGCATGCATGCCTCCATATGCGTGCAGCTGTTTGTACACGCGTGTGCACAGCACACAGGTGCTTGCACACCCACATACGTGTGCGTGGACATAAGTACCTACGCATGCAATTTGTCCGGCCCACGTTCACGCACACACGCGTGTGTGGGTCTGCACACACGTGTGTGTGCATGGCCAGGGAGCAGGGCAGCTGCATCCTGCATGGTTGGGCAACTGGCCGGCAGCCCTCGCCGTGCTGCGTGAGGTTTGCTTTGGCTGTGGGCCTGGGGTGTGTGGGGGGGAAGCAAGAAGATTAACTGCTAACGCTAGATTAAACCCCTGATAAATTAGGCCCAGGTAAAGTGTGATTAATTATTTTTGGGGGTTTCTCTCCTCTGCGAAAAGCTGGAGGTAGGTGCCGTGCAGGGCAGGTTGTGCTGCAGTGCTGGTCCCAGGCATCGTGGCCCTGACCGAAACCTGGTGGGTGAGCAAGAAATGGTGTTTCTCGTTCATTGGCAGATCTGAAATGGAAGGAGAGAGATTTCTGCTCTGGTCTGGGGTGAAAACACCTCACCAGAGTCACCATCACCCCCCCGCCTCCCAGCCACATCCCCCCCACCCTCGCCCCCAAAATCTCCGGGCTGTGATGCTGGTGAGCCAAGTTCTGGCTTGCAGCGAGTCTCTAATCCCTCGAAGAACAGGATTTATAACAAAGAGCTGACATAACCTTACCTACAGCAACGCAGATGCTCGACATGATGCCAGAGGGGACAGGGGTTGGGGACGGTACTCTCTGCAACTCCCCCGACAAAGCTGGAGGGGCTCAAGGAGGGGGTGCAGGGGAAGGGTCACCCCAACCCCTTCATCTCAGGGGTGCAGGAGCTGCGTGTCCATGTCGCCCCCCCATGCTGTCACAGAGACAAGGGAGGGGGCGATGCCGCATGTTTGCTCCAAGTTTGGGGAAAGTGGGGGAAAAAAAAAAACCTGCCCCATTTGCAGGACAAGCAGGTGGAGGGGGGCCTGGGATGGGACCTGCCTGCACCCCCACCCCCCTCCATCCCCCAGGGCACCCCCAGCCCCACGGGGACCCCTCGTCCTGGTGGGCCAGGGCTGTGCCGGACACCGTGACCCAGCAGGGTTATGAACGCCAGCCCTGGCAGCCCCACATCTGGAAGGGATTCTGCCAGAAACGGTGGATAAAGCCTTCGCACCCTACCCTCCTCTCCCTCCATCCCATCCAGGGAAAGCCCTGGGGTGGGCAGGCAGATAACCAGTACTAAATAACCTCCCCGGAGTGCCGGTGACCCCTGGGAAGGCCATGGATTAACCGGGAGAGGTGGAAGCAGGCGAGGAGCAACATCCTGGTGCCCAGGCAGCAGCGGCTGGCTCAGCCTCTGGAAAAGAGCTGGCATCGGCTGCCGCCATCTTATTCTCCCCTTCCCGGCAGGACGAGCTGCAAAAATCCTCACAAACCGCAGAAATCCTGAGTGCAGAGACCGCTGTGGGCCCCCCCCAGCAGCCCAGGCACAGCTCCCTCCCCAGCTCAGCACCCTCATGGGTGTCCACCCCCCACCCCAAAATGGTGTCAACGCTTGGGTGATGTGCACCCACATGCCGCAGGTTGCAAAGAAGCCGAGGCCACCAGGGGCTTGTTTCCGATCTGCCCCCCCCTCAAGCTCTCACTGCATTGGGAGAGTGGATGGAGGGACTCCAATGCAGAGGGGGGGGCCAGGGTGGTGAAGTCCCCCCTGCCCGGGGGCAGCCACTCTGTGGGGCTGAGCAAGGAAGGCAAGACACCCATCACCTCTGCCCCACATCCCTGCAAATCCATCCCAGCTGGCAGGGTGCACTCATGTCCGTCCCCCCACTCTGCCTCCCCGGCCACTGTGACGGCCGCTGCGGAAATGAAACGCAGCTGGACGGCGTGACCGTACCCTGCCCCAGCCCAGTGGCCGCCAGGGACCCCGGCTGTGGGGTTGGAGGGAGCCCACAAGCCCCACGGCCTCCGCTGTGCCGTCGGCTGCCGACACGGTGGGGATCCTGCCCCAGACCCCGGCTCGTGGCTGAAGGGATGCCAAAGTGGGATGCGAGCAAAGCCCCCTCCGACCCCAACCCACCGGCTGCATCCAGCATCTGCCAACAAGCTGGGGCCTGGCCGCCTGCTTCTCATTTCCAAAGACATAAAAAACTTTAACAACCGGCCATTTATAACCCAGCTCATAAACCCACCCCCCTCTCCCCAGCCCCCCACCCCGATCACTTCCAAACCCAGCCCAGACACAAAGGCTCCCGGCTTCTCCTCCATGCTCTCACCTTCCTTTGGATTTTGGGGCTGTAACAGCTTTCCCACCCCCTTCCCGGAATGTGCAAGGACTGGGCACACACATGTGCACACAGGCAGGGCCTGGGAGGGGGAGAATGCTGCAAAGTTGCTTACCCCCCCAAAACACCCACCACCCTGCAAGATCCCAGCCCATGGGATGCTCAGGCATCCCCTCCCCAGCACAATGCAGGGGTCCCCAGCTTTTTGTGTTTAAACCCTCCAAAAAAGGGGAACGCCCCCCTGCCGCTGCAGGGGCTCAGGGTGGAGGGGGGGAGGGTTGTGCCCCCCCCAACTCCCCCTCGGTCTCCGCCGCCAGGAGCTGAGCGCAGCCACGTAAACACATCGAATGGCTGGAAAATGTGACGTGTGCCAGGGGCTCGGGACCGCCGCCTCCCCCCACCCCGCGGGGCTGCATCCAGCCCAGCGTGGGCGGGGGGGATCCCCCAAAGTGGCTGCTGGCTCGGCACTGGCACCGTTCCTGGTCCCACCAGCCAGAGCTGCTGGTGACGAAGGGGATAAGGGGGAGCCGCATGTGCAGGGACGGCCAGCAGCCTGAGCAGGGCTGGGCCGCTTTGGCTGCCCCGGCCCCTCAGTGATGCCAGTGGCGGGGACCAGCCAGCTCCCCAGCACCCTGCGGTTTAACCAGAAAAGGGGGTGAACTGGGGGAGCCCCCAGGAGCTGCTGGCAGGGGCCAGGTCACACCTGGTGTGAAGAGGAGGTAGAGGAAGGGTCACCAGGAGGCAGATGTTGGCAGGCGATGGGTGATGGCTGACAGCAGCCGCCCGAGGGGCCTGCTGGGAGCCGGCAAACGTGGCGCTCGGCCGCTCTGTGCCAGGTACAGTCCCCCCTCCCTTCCTGGCAGCGCTGCCAGGGTTCCCTGTGACCAGGTGGGAGCCAGCGGGGAGGAACGGCACCGTCTCAGCAGTGAGTGCTTGGCTGGGGCCCTCTGGCTCCATGTCCGCCTAAGCCCCTTCTGAATTTCCTGGGAGCTCGACCCAAGGTGCTGCCTGCAGCCCCTGCCTGTCCCTGCTCCCCAGTGCCCATCCCAGCCCCGGGAACACCCCAGCCCCACAGTTCTCCCCTCCCGACCCATTTCGGTGGCCAGCTGGTGAGGTGAGGGGGGCAACTGTTTTGACTTCAAACGACAACGTGGAGGGGAATCTCACATGGAGCCTGGATGCCTTGCTCTCTGGCTGGTGTTGGTCGCAACACTCCCCATGTACCCAGGGCTGAGCGCCGTCCCCACGGCCTGGAGCTCCTCTCCGTCCGTCCCCCCCCACCAAAAGGAAGGGCTCGTTAATCATTTCTTTTTAATTGGGATTTTGTACACAAACATTTCAGTTAAAAGCAACCCCCCCTCCCCGGGGCAGACCAAGAACTCAGGGCATGTTCAAGAGTTCAGGGAACAACCGCACGTTGGGGTTTGGAGGCATCTGTGAAGGACATGGCGTCCCCAGGATGGGAGGGACTGCACAGGGCGGCACAGTGCAGGCGGACCTGGTGACACTGGTTCCCCATGCCCGGGCTCGTCCCAGCCCCCTCATTTGCAGTGGCACTTACGCAACAAGGAAGATGGCACCCAAATCATTGAGGGTGAGCAGCTCCGAAATCAGAGTGGGGACTTTCCGGCACGATCTGCTTCCCACCCGTTGGGTGCTGCCCACACCCACACCCCCGCCGCAGCCCGGAGCCCTTTGGCGGTTCCTGTCCTTGTCAAGAGGTAGTTTTGCAAGAAAAGAAAAAACAGGAGGGGAAGGAGCTTGCCCTGGGCACCGATTCCTCCAGGGATCGAGCAAGTGCAGCCGGCAGAGCCCCAACGCCACATCCAGCCCCGCAGCCCCGCTCTGGCTTGGGCCCCGCCGTGTTATTGGCACCACCGAGCTGTTCTGGGGGGGATGCAGGACCTGAGAGACACCCCCACACCACGGGGAAGGCACAGGCTGGCCCCAGCTCTCCCCTACGTCCCTGGGGGAGGACAGAGCAGCGTAACAAGGCACATTGGGGGCACAGGGACAAGGGACACATGTGCCTGGTTCCATGCTCCCACCGTCTGTCCGTCCCCACTACCTTGCCTGGACAGATGGAGCGGCTGTTTGGTGCTCGCTGCTCCTCCCCGTGGGCTCTGGGCCCCTTTTGGGGTACAGGACCAGGCTGCAGGGCCATCACTCCTGCTTGGGGTTCAGCATCAGGTGTTGCTCCCACTCTGCCTCCACCACTTTGTAGAGCTCCATGGTGGCTCGGGCATCCTCCACCGAGGAGTGACCATTCTTCCCAACCTGTTGGGGACAGAGACGGGGTGTGGGCACAGCCTAAGGCACCGCTCCGACACTGGCTGAGCAGGAAAAAGCCCCCCTGATGCTGTGGGGGCTGAGCTGAGGGGTCCCTCCTCCCACGGACTGGCTTCCAGGGAAAGGGAAACTGAGGCACAGGGCTGCCTTGTTCCAGGACTGGCAGCAGCAACTGAACTCGGGATGCCCTGGTCTCAGGACAGTGTGTGAAACCCCAATCCTTCCCTGGGGATGAATCTCCCCTCTCCTGTCACCCCAGTGCAGCACAGGGGGATCCCCATGCCACTCCCCGACTCTTGGAGGAATGTGGGGAGCTCCCGGCTGAGGCAGCAGCCTCGCAGCGGCACCCCGTGGCGGCTGCCGAGATCCGGGAGGAGGATCCTGCCAAGCTACCTGAATGTCCTTGTGCAGCAGCTCCTTGGTGAGGCGCTTCAGGGAGATGGAGGTGTTCTCAGGGAAACCACCCTTACGGTTCAGCAAAGGGATTTTGGACGTGTCCCGGGTGAGCGCTTTGGGGTGGAAGTACTTGAGCGCCTTGAAATCGTTGTAGATGGCGTGGCCGACCACGATCTTCCCAGAGAGGATGCGCAGGATCTGAGGAAAGGGGATGAAGAGGCGGGGGGGCAGGGTGGTTAGGACACCCGGCAGCCCCGCATGAGGATTTCTGCCCCACAGCAGAGGGCTGCTCGTGCTCAGGGATGTGGGGCTGCCCCACTGCCAGCAGGGGGAAGCAGACCGGTGCAAAGACACGGGCCTGAATGGGAGCAGTGGCAGTGTGGGAAGACGTTCCCTCTGCTGCAGAGGCCAGAGGAGGATGCAGGCAGCCCTGCGAGTCCCCGCAGCCTGACGAACCCCCAAATGGCCTGAAAAGGCCACGAGACAAAGCCCCCAGCCCTGTGTCTATCCCCCCCCCCCGGGCTGTATCACCCCAAAAATGCAGGCAAGAGCACACCTCTCGCTGGGCCTTGCTGAAGGGGATGGCGTTCACCATGTGCTGCCGCCGAATGCCACTCCAGCGGGTGCGGTAGTCCACGATGGGAGCGGTGGGACGGATGTATTGGTCGTACATGACGTCGCCCTGGTAGCCCACGATGCTGCAACGGGCCAGGTCGCTGGTACGCCCACCGGGCCCTGTGCCCACCATCTCACAGTCTATAGCGACCAGTTTGGTGGGCTGCGGGGGAAAGCTGGGGGCTTTTTGGTTTCTCTTAGCTGTGCCCCAGGCCGTCGTCTTTGGTTTCGAGGACAAGCCCGTTCCTTTGGAACCAGGACAAGTGGTCGCACCAGGCGGGGTGATGGAAGTGGGACCGTTCACTTTGGGGCAGGGTTTGGGCTGGATGGAGGTCGGTTTTTCCGGGCCTTTCCTGGTCGCTGCCTCCTGCTTCTTGTCCCTCCTGCCCCTGGGGCCCGGTTTCTGCCGGGAGCCCCTCCCGGGCGGCGGCTGGGCCACCGGCAGCTGCTTCTGCTTCAGCACACCCCGCCGTTCCAGCGTCCGCCGCCGCTGCAGGAAGCTCTTGTGCTTTCGGTTACCGGTCTCCTTCTTCCCGGGACGCTCCGAAGGGGCAAAGTCCACGTTGAGGATCAAATCCGACATGACGGGGCCCGGCGGCGGCGGCAAAGGGCTGGGGGAGGGGGGCGGGGAACCGCCACAACCCCAAAGCAGCCGGTCCGGTCCCGTCCGGTGCTGCCCGCGGTGGGGAGAGGCAGCTCGGCACCGGGATCCCCCCGGCACCGACCCGCGAAAGACACCGACCCCGCCGCCG